TCCCACTTGCTTCGTTCGGTAGAGGACATATTGTCTCAGTGCATGAAGTTCTCTAACAATCAGTCGTGTAATAATGAGAGGACAATGTTCTAGCTGCAAATCCTCGATAGATGGCAAATGCTACTGCATGCTCACAAGGAAAAATCTCCAATTGAAATTTTTTACAAGTGCATGTGTTATCAGTGAAGTTTACCATATATGTCGTATTACGTGCACATTCCATAGAGAAGCGTGACTGTTCAGTGGTTCGACATTCAACTGTCTCGCAAGTTTTGTAGCCTTGAATAGCCTTTTCTCTTACGCCGGGGCTGGCACACTCGTGCAATTCTGTGATTCCGCCAGTTGATCGCAAAATTACTACTGCAGCTTAGTATGAATATTCTCAATTAGTGCAATGATGGCTAATTCTAGATCCTTCTTGAATAATGCATTGAGAGACTCCGCGTTGTTTGACGTCATCATATTACATCGACGTCCTGAAAAATACGAGCACGCCCAATGTTCAATCCCCATTTTCATTAGATAATCCCATGCCTCGAATGATTTACTTCATATTTCAACCATGAACTTATTACACTCTTTAACACTGTAAACTTTAGCCGCTCTCCTAAACAATGAAATGATACTTTGCCCTGATATCTAGTCTTTAGATTGCCTTGAATATGGCACATGCAATACCCACGATGTGCATCTAGAAAAATTTCAGCGATGCTATTTATTAAAGACGGCCCCCGATCGATTACAAATGCAAGGTCCTCGACTTTCACGATTACTTCCCTCAACTTTGTAAAGAATCACCACATCGACAGGTCATTCTCACTATCGACTATACCGAACGTAAGAGGGTAAATTTGGATATTGACATCTTGACATGTAGAAATAATCAACTTGATTTGATATTTAGATTTCAGTGTTGTACCATCACCTAGAATTAGGGGTCGCATTGCATTTCGAAATCCTCGAATGCATTGTCCAAGAGCCATAAAAAAGAATTTGAAGCTATTCTCACCCTCCGTCTCAATAAAAAATTCCGAGCCAAAATTAGTTTTCTCCACGTTATGGCAATACCTAGCCAATTTAACTTAGCTTTCCTCTACAGAACCCATTAAATCTTCAGACGCGTATTCATTGATCTTCCAGGCCTTTTGATAGCTCAAGACTACTCCATACTCTCGACGGACGTCGTTAATGATATCCGATGATCTGTAGATCGTATGTGGATCCTGAAACTTGTGCCTTATCTGTCAATTAGTAAACCATGCTCGGACTTGCTTGTGATCATTTCGAGGTAATCCCACTTCACAAGTATATTCCCGCGTATACTTGCGAACTACAAATTACTCATTCGTGTTCCTTCATCGCTCGCGAATGCCAATGACAAACTATTATCTACATAAGCGATTGTCAACAATGACCTGTTCAATTTTTTTTACTTTGAACTCAAAGTTTTATTTCAGCGCAATTAGGTGCATAGCTTCCTGTAAATCTTTTTTCGTTTCAAACAATTGCTCAACATACAAATTATTTCTATCAAGAACCACACACGAGGAGTTAGAAGACGGTCCACTCGATCCAACCCTTGAGGTCCCACTCCGCTCATATCTCTGCCGGGATAAAACGATCAAATCCTCGTCTATAAAAGTATTTACATTTTCACACTCATTGTCGTGAACTATAGATGGAATTCTGTGAGTAACTGTCTCTGGAATAACCGCATCATCTTCAGGAGATATCTGGACCGTATCTCAAAAATCATTAGCATTGTGATCTCCTCCATCCGAGTCTACTTGTTCACCTTCGACGACATTCTTCTTCACTAAAGTCACGCAAACATGAGTCGGGTGCCTATTGTTCATTTCAAACAAATAATTCACTTCGGCATCGGAAGAAATCATCATAGGTAGAATTGAAATATCTTGATCCCTGAATTTAAAATTCAATTCCATGCCATACTGAGAGAGATCAACATTTAGCTTTGTCTATAAACATTATAGAGTTCTGCGTTTGATGTTATTTCTGTTATGAAAATTTGGATATCACTACGTTTATCACTTATCTGTTTCCATACTTATCGGTCTCTTTCGTCCAATTCGAAATCACCAAAATAATAAACTGAGATTACAATCATATTTACATGACGAAACATAATTTTTAATTGCAAGAAAAATATCGAAGACAATAAAAATAATAAAAAAGAAATAAAAACCAAAAACAGCTGGCTGTTTTCAAAAACAACCGGCAACTGGTGGTTAGAGTCGATTGTCCAGCCAGCTGTTCTAATAGTTGATTGGACATCGGCTATTAAAATTCGACTGTCCGGCAGATTGTACACACCAACTTTTACAGATGAATTTTTTAGAATATACAGATGAATTTTTTCTCGTCAAATGCTTAAATTTTTCACAGATCTATTAAAAAATTATCTACATTAATATTATATGTTGAAATAAATTTTATCTACTAAAATGTACAACAATTTAACGAAAACAAAATCAAATGTGCGTATTTTTACTTACCGATATGATGAGATTGATATAAAAGAATTTTCAATTACCGTGTTCAATAAAATTTTTAGATTTTGAGGTTGAAGTAGATGAAAGATGAGAGTTTTTATCTGTGTTGGAGTAAACAGATAAGAAAAGTTAGCTGGTTTTGATATTTTAAGTAGGACGTGTTCGATTTTTATTTGTTAACTAAAGAGTAGTAATGTCTTTTAAACAAAACCATCTTTTGTAATTGTATAATGTACTTAAAGATTATTTTCGTCTTTTAACAATCAACAAGTCATTGTCATAATATTCATTTGTTCTTAAGTTAAAGTGGAATTTGATAAGTTTTGACTTGGCCATTTTTAAAGGTAGGTCGCTTCATCATTGTCTGATCGCAGTCGAAATTATGTACCCCCTCCCCAAACATTTAGCACCTGACAGACGCTCAGCTCCGATAGTCTCCGCGCCTCCGACTTAGTCTCCATCTCCAGCAATAACTCAACTTTAGTACACTACTCGCTTCTTTCTCACTCTGCACAGTCGTCGAAGTGCACCCGCGAAAAAATTGGTTGACAAATCTAATCTCTGTTAGACAATTTAACTGTTCGTGCTGCTCATCTGTTGCTGTTAAAATTTCCTCTTTTACTTGAACCATTACTCTTTTCTTTCTCAAACCTCCAAGTTTTACTGTAATATTTTACAACTGCTCGAGTAAAGCCTATAGTGACTATGGGCAGAAAAATGAAATTTGCAAGCCCAGCAATGTTTAACATTCTATAGATATAGGCCAATTTACTGGTGAATAAAATTTCAGCTCAAATTAAAGGGTAATTAGCACAAAATGTTCCTACATTTCGATGTTTTTGTGGAAAACGTCCATATCTTTCATTTTTTAGCTGATTACACCCTCACCTTTACATTTTTTTGTGCAAAACATCATTTTGTCAACTCCTAGTTAAAATGCTATGTTAAATCAAAGGGTAATTAGCACAAAAGGTCCCTACCTTTCAATGTTATTGTGCAAAACGTCCATACCTTTCATTTTTTAGCATTTTCATCCTTACTTTTCACCTTTCATTGCGCAAAAGGTCTTTTTCATCCATTTTTTTAATAAAATGACGATTTTACCCTCCTATTCAAATAAAATAAAAAGAAAAGATGAATTACCAACTGCAACCATAGTCCTTAAATTTTTAAAAAATTACAAAGAAATCATAAGTTCTCAACCACCACCACTTTCACAACCTATCAAGCTGCCAATTATAAATCCATGCAACACTACCTTTCGGCCACCACGCCCACCGAACTCCACCACTGTAAATGTGGTTGTTTCGGACAGATTGGTAGATAATGATATTGGGGAGAGTGAGGCGAGGCTGGTGGTGGTGGAGTTCGATAGGTGTTGTAACCGAAAGGTGGTGCTATATGGATCTATAGGTGGTGGCTTGGTGAGGTTGTGAAAGTGACGGTAGTGGAGAATTTATGATTTATTTGTAATGTTTTAAAAGATTTAAGACTATGATTGCTATTAATTATTTATTTTTCTTTTCTTTTCTTTTTGTTTTATTTGAATAGAGGGTAAAATCGTCATTTTATTGAAAAATGGATGAAAATGACCTTTTGCGCAATGAAAGATGAAATGTAGGGGTGAAAATGCTAAAAATGAAAGATATGGACGTTTTGCACAATAACATTGAAAAGTAGGGGACCTTTTATGCTAATTATGCCAAAAAATAAAAAAAGTAGGGACGTTTTGCATAATAATATTGAAAGGTATGGACTTTTTGTGCTAATTACCCTTTGATTTAACATTTTGCGCAAAAAAAAAGAAGTAAAAATGAGGGTGTAATCCACCAAAAAACGAAAGGTAATGACGTTTTCTACAAAAATATCGAAAGGTAATTACGTTTTGTGCTAATTACACCAAATTAAACAACAAAATTCCAATAAAAATTCAATGACCCAATTTTGGAGATGGAGAAGATGGATTAGAGGAGCAATCGTGTTCAATGCCAGGTTTGTTGACTAAACGAGCAATGTGACCAGTAGTCACAATCCTTTTTGCCTCCCTAATTTGAGAATTTCTGCCTCGAAGCTTTGTGTGTCATTAAGGGTGTGTTTGATTACATTTATTTTTCATGAAAAATTTCAGTTTTCCAGGAGTGTTTGATAGCTATTTTTTTCCATGGAAAACATTTTCCAACTTTTGAAAATATGTCTAATTTTTCTTGTTTTTAAGGAAAATATTTTCTTTGGGTAGAGGTGGTTCTTATTTTTCACAAAAGATGGAAAATATTTTCTTTTTTAGATGATATTTTTCATATCAATCAAACACACTCTAAATTCTGAAAGGAGAGTGCTATCTGCACAATCTCCTATGCAGGTACACATACATGGAGTGGACCCCTCACAAAGGGTCCACATGTAGGGTCCACCCCATGTGAGATGCCCTGACCTGAGATGCCCTGACCCTGCTGGAGGCATTTTCCATATAATGAATTAAATAGTGAGGGCCTGAAAAACATACGGGAGTAAACACTGGGCATTATTCATCTTCCAAAAGTATTTTCTCATTTCTGAGTGACAGTGAAATTCAAACACTAGGCCACTGTTTCCCCCCGCAGATTACCAGAAAAACCCTAATCGTGATCAATAAAAGATTTATATTAGAAATTTTGGTTTTCACTGTACTGTGTATATACATAGATTTTGCTTGCATAAGGTTGATCGGGTTTTGTAAGGTTACGGTTTCCGTAATGAGTTCAAGGGCAAGATATCCACCTCCGGGAATGGAAGGGGGCCGAGGCAGCTACGGCGGCATTAACCCAAACCCTTTTCATCCTAGAAATCCTACGCAAAACGACATGACAAGGGGCCCTGCACCGGGTAATATGAATCACCAGACGTTTCATAATCCTCAGCAACAGCAGTGGCTCCGCAGGACTCAGTTTCCGCCACCCGATTTAACTGTTCATGAGGTTGAAAAGGTCATACAGTCTGAAGCGGTTGATTCGAGGTTAAGCTTTTTGTTCTTTCAAATCAGGAATTGAGTTTAATTTCTTACGAGGTTTGGATGTTTTTATATTAGTTATTTGTCTGTTCATTCAACCAAATTACCGTAAATATTTTAGTTTCTTTTAACTTCCAGGAACCCAATTGCTTTTTTTGTGTATTTTAGGCAATATAGTGGGCCATACATATATTTTGTATTGTGATGAATTAAGCATTGTAAACTGAATGGAAGGAAGATGATCCAATTTGGATCATGTAAAATCATAAAGTTTAGCCGTGTGAAAATCTGAAGCATGGTACGCAGCCTGCATGATTGGGAATTTGGGATACTTACCTTACAACTGATTCACCTATAGGTTCCCTGGCACTGCTTTTCTAGAGTTCCAGATGGAACAATTGGAATGCATGGGAGATCTTCGAAGAAATTCTTATCAAGTCTTGGGGTGCAGTTGGCATGGCATATATGTTCTCGAATTCTGTTAGTTTTGTTTCTGCTGATTGTTCCAACCTTGTTATTAGGAAAATGTTTTTCTTTCAATTGTTCTTGTTTATATAAATAAACTCTAGGCAATACGTGAATATAGGAAGGCACGTTGGCTTGTTAATGTGGACCTTCATGAAGTTTAGGGATTTGTAATATGGTGGAATTAAAATCTTAATCTAAAAAGGCAGGAAATGAAATGATATTATAATATATATTTTTTTATGTGGACGTGGTGGATTCAGTTGCTATCGTGGTGGATATTGTTCCATATCACTCATGGCATGTCAGATTGCATTCGTGTGATATGCTCGTTTTGCCATATAAATGGCTCAAACTATAAGAAAATAGTTAGCAATGTCTAAATGTTATCTACTAAATAAGCATAATTCACAAAACACTAAGACTTTAAGCTTAATAATGCTATATAACTCTTACACTATCATTATATGGATTATTTTGACGCTCAGCTGTCAAACTTTCCATCAGGATACATAATTTCCACAATTACACCAAAATAATGCAATAGAAGTGGGCTTTATTAGCTTGGACTGATATGACACTTACGTTAAATAGGTTAAAATCAAGAAATTTGAACGATTAACGGAAAAAGTGTTTTAAGGAATACATATATTCTTTTAAAGGAAGCTTTAACCTTGAAGACCCATTTATATGCAATTGAAAGTTCAGTGATGAATATATAAATAACTGTGAGAATTTGACCTGACCAACACACGATTTTAAATAGAATAATTATGTTTTGAAATCATGAAATTGGTTGAAACTGCGAGCCTTCTTTTCTCCCTCTCCTGCAATTTATACCAAGACGCACAAGATTAGAAAAAGGAACAAATACTATCAGACAGTGATAATGTCAGAACGGAATAATGAAAATGACGATGGCCTTTAAGATTGTGAGTCGACTTGGACTTGGCTGACCCTAGAACCATGATTATTTAGTTTACCAAAATTATCCTGTATTGTTCATTTTTTGTGATGAACATTCCGAAAAGTTTCTCCTAGAATCTTCTTGATAATTGACACAATCTTAGTAACGATTATTCTTTTACTTTTCACAAGTTTGCAAGATTGGAAGGCAAGGTTAAAGTTACCACCGACGGACACACGTTACAAAACGGAGGTAAAGAGTTTCAATGACATGCTTGTTTGCGTGTTGCTTAGTTGTTCGTTTTATGTTCTAGGATATATTTAGTCCCTGTTTGGCCCCATTTTTCCCAAACTCATTTCAACCTCACTTTTTATCAACTTTTATTCAAATCTACTAAAAATTCGATTCTTAGCCACAAAACGGGGCTTAATAACTGAAATTAATTAGTTTCTTCACTTTGAAAGTATAAGTTTTTTTATGATAATTAAATATATCATTTAATTTTTAATGTCAAATTATGGAAGGCCTTAGCCAAATCTGACCCACATTGGAGCCATTTAATTGCAGTTAACCGTTATTTTTTAAGAGAGCCAATATTGAAAATCAGAAATTACTTTGAGAAATCATATCAATCATGTTTGTAGTCATCTTTACAAGCATATCACCATGCCTTCTTTTAAATGCTGCACGCATTATTATGAGAAGTGCTACTCTTACTTCATCCTTAGTCTTCTCAAAGATTCGTTTTCTCCAAACTCATTTTCAACCCCACATTCTCCCAATAAAATAATTTGCACATAAACAAAATTTTTTTCCCTACTTTTTAGTCACACGTTTTTCAAAAAAATCACTATTACAAAATCTGTTTTCCCAAGAAGTGGTTCGAATAGAGCCTTAGTTTTCTTTAATGTGGCTGAACACAGTATGTTATTCACTTTTATATCAGAATTCATGCATCTTGGGAAACTTCCTTATTTCTATCTCACTTTCCCTTTTTCTTCTTTAGTTTCTTAGTGCCACTCTACGTATTGATAATGGGGCCTGAAGCATGTTTGGGCACATTGTCTCTTTTTATAGATGATTGAACAGTTTGGTTTTGAAATCGTGGCATTAAGTCAAACGCGGGCAATGAATGCTCTGGAGTCGGATCTATGGCCTTCAAGATGAACACAAATAAATAACTACTAAATTTTTATAGGTAAACTATTTTGAAAAATTCAATGTAGAGATAATACTGTCAGATATTAGATAATAATGTTTGCATTTGAATTCGATTATTGAAGAAGGAAGAAAGTACAATGGATAGCATTCAGAGGAGCACATGGATTTGGCAAGTAGCCAAACAATGATTGAGTTCACCCTAAACTTTGGGCAATTACTCTCTATAATGCTTCCTTCCATTCAATTTGAATCTTTTTATTGTTATAATTTCTCTCTACACAAAGTTGTTACATTGTACTCTGGCATATTCTTTTCCTCCTTAAAATTACATTTTGATTCCAAGAATGTTCTTCTGCATGATAATTCAAAAGCGGGCTTGTTTGTTTGCATTCAATATGTGTGCAAGAGTCTTCTTGCTTGCAGCACTTGCCAGATCTCTCGGATAGTGTTTGTTTTCTTGCTTCCTGAAGTTTTGTTTCTGACTTTTCTTCACACTTTAAGCTTACATTTACCTTTTTATATTGGCTGGTCATAGGAAGCATAATAGGATTCAGTATGCTAAGAATAACTGCAGCTTGTATATTATGGATTTTTCTTGCTTGCTCAATTTAATTTATCAACATGTTATTCATATTATACAGTACAGTTTAATTCGATGGGGTTGACTATGCCAGGAAGTTCTCTTTGGATATTCAGTCTTCTGACTTTTAGAGTTATGTGATCATTTCTGAAATATTTCTTGTTTGACTGTCGGGTTGTTGAGTATGAAGCTATATTAGTTGACATTAGTATCCTGATTGCAATTTTTAATTCTCTACAGGATGTGACTGCTACCAAAGGAAATGAATTTGAAGACTACTTTTTGAAACGTGAGTTGCTTATGGGAATATATGAGAAGGGCTTTGAGAGACCATCTCCAATCCAAGAGGAGAGTATTCCAATTGCTCTCACTGGAAGTGATATTTTAGCTAGAGCCAAAAATGGAACAGGGAAAACTGCTGCCTTTTGCATTCCTGCCTTGGAGAAAATTGATCAAGATAACAATGTTATTCAAGGTTTTAGTCTTATCCATCTATGGATTCTTGTAAATGTAGCATTCTGAAATTTCTCTTGGAGGACTTTACCTTTTATTGATTTCAGATATTGCATTTCTAGGAGAATAAGGCCTTTAGGATATAATCAAAATAAGCTAGATCTTAAGCATTTTGGGAGCTGAAATGGTGGTTATGATAATGCATGGTAGCAGTAATTATTGTTATTGTACTCCTATAGCAGCTATATTAACTCTGTCTTGCTGCTCTATAAGATTTTATTCTTTTATATATATGAAGGGATTTTGTAAGGATGCCAGATATATGATCACTTGTGTGGTAAATTTGACGCCTTAATGGTAACTATTTGTTGATCTCGTTTTCTAGATTTGTACTATTATATTTTCTACAGTTATCTGATCAACTACTATATTCACTTGTCAACTGGGCCTCTGACCAATGTGCATTGTTTCAGTTGTCATTCTTGTCCCAACAAGAGAATTGGCCCTTCAGACGTCACAAGTATGTAAAGAACTTGGGAAGCACTTAAAGATTCAGGTCATGGTTACTACAGGTGGAACTAGCTTAAAAGATGACATAATGCGTCTTCATCAACCAGTTCATTTACTTGTTGGAACTCCTGGAAGAATCCTTGATCTTACGAAAAAGGGTGTTTGTGTTTTGAAAGATTGCTCTATGCTTGTAATGGATGAGGTACGAAAATATGTTTTGTGTCTCCACTTTTACCTGTTAATTAAGCTAGTTTCTAGGCGCAGTTTTTTTGGATGTCGTATAATGCTGATCATCTCATACGCACAATTACGGAACCTAAAATGTATGAAGTAAAAAGGGTAGAATGTTAAATTTATATAACTAATTGTAGTGATCTTTTAGAACTTCTCTTGCTTTGAAGTGGGGGTATGTTTAAAATTGCTTAGTTGATATAATCATCTTGGCTTTCCAGTTTAAGTGGCAGATTACGGACGTCCAATTTGATATAGATTGTTTTGCCCCCTGGATTTCAGCTTTGAAAGAATGTAATTTTCATAGGCAATCTACATAGTAGAACATGATCTAATGTTTTCTGTGCTGGTATTTTTCAGGCTGATAAGCTTTTGTCACCAGAGTTCCAACCTTCTGTTGAGCAGTTAATTCATTTTATGCCTTCAAAACGTCAGATCTTGATGTTTTCTGCTACCTTTCCTGTTACGGTGAAAGATTTCAAAGATAGGTACCTGCAGAAGCCCTATACCATCAACCTTATGGATGAGCTTACCTTAAAGGGCATAACACAGTATTACGCTTTTGTGGAAGAAAGACAGAAAGTTCACTGCCTCAACACACTGTTCTCAAAGGTCCAAGCTGCAGTTTTTATATTTATTACACAGCACACACACTTGCCATTTTCAGGTAATTTTGAGATGAAAGTTATATGTTCATTAATACTTCTTCCTGCAGCTCCAAATAAACCAATCTATTATTTTTTGCAATTCCGTGAATCGAGTAGAACTTCTCGCAAAGAAAATCACAGAGATTGGCTATTCTTGCTTCTATATTCATGCTAAGATGCTTCAAAATCATCGGAACAGAGTATTTCACGACTTTCGCAATGGTGCCTGCAGGAATCTCGTTTGCACTGGTATCAATCCCTACCTTTTTGTCTTGTGATAAGCAAGCTTGCCATCTTGCAATTGTTTTCAATTAACTCGTGTGGATTGTCTGCAAATTATCTTTGTTAACTTGATTGATGGTGTTGGTTACATTTTCTTTAAAATCCCCCGAGGCTTTTGCTGTTGCCTTGAGGCACGCCAAATATGATGCATTCAATAAACCCCTTGAAGCATGCATGTTAGTATCATTTGCAGGGCTTATGGCTCATACTTATTGCGATGCACGCCTTATGGCATAAGCCTCACAGTGACTGGGGTGTGCTCTTATTGTCTTGCTCATTCTGGGCCTTCTATTACTGGCCTCAGTTTTGGGGCTAGGTGTTACAATCGAGAACATTTTAAGCCATTAAAGGTGTTATGCTTATTTCAAACACAACCGTACCCCAAAAACTAGGAAAAAATATGAACTGGAGAAGATGGAGGTGAGCAATTGAAGCAAGCATGCCCATCCTCCTGTACCTGAAGTGCGATAATTTTTTCTCCCTAGAAGACGTTTTGGTTTTTTAGTTCAAGTAGAAAGCATATACAAAATTGTTACATTTGACAATATATTTTTTTAACTTATTGATCTATTTGATTTTTGGTTAGACTTTTCATTTTGTTGAATTTGTTTTTTGTTATGAATTTTCAAGATGGTTTATAGATTATTACTGGCATATTTTTGGAGTTCTATATTTTATTGAATTCCTTTATTTGTTTGTGTTGAAGGCTTATTCCTAGCTAAGAGGTAAATTCATCGGTACTCGATTGAATATTTTAAAACATTGGTTGATCCTTAATGATAAGGTTAGTAAATGTGTAGAGCAATAATGAGGATACCGATGAGAAATTTCTCTGCATTATTGGTCATCAATTTTTGTGACTTATTCATAATCAGTAATATGCATATGATTGCTAACACTGCTGTATATTGAATATTGCATTAGTTATTTATCCTAGTAATGACTAGAACCCGCAATCTGGGTCTCTATGGACGTGCTACGGATATAGTGGAATATGCATTTGAGATCGCTGGTCTATTTTTTGCCTGTTGGAATTTCAATTTGGTTCTTGAATGGGGCATATTAATTTGTATTTATCCTAGATAAGATGGAGAAAAAAGGGGACTTGACCTTTGCCACTGCATTCAATTCTGATTCCAATTCTTTCCTTTGTCATATGATTGTTCTTTTCCCTTTCCTCCCCTGGTCAAATTGCAGATCTATTTACAAGAGGGATTGATATTCAAGCAGTCAATGTCGTTATCAATTTTGATTTTCCCAAGAACTCCGAAACTTATCTTCACAGGGTATGTTTGCCTGGATTTTTGGTCACTTCACTGTTCATGCTTGTGTGATTTCCTTATGGATGTTATTTAATGCATAGGTTGGTCGATCTGGAAGGTTTGGACACCTTGGATTAGCCGTGAACCTGATTACTTACGAGGATCGCTTCAATTTGTATGCCATTTCTTTGGTTTACGACAATTAGACTGTACTTTACTAAGTCGTGCATATTAAAACCTTCTTTTTTTTTTCAAAATGTTTTTCTTGTATCTGTATTCTTACAGGTATAGGATTGAACAAGAACTTGGGACAGAGATCAAGCAGATTCCTCCACAGATAGATCAGGCTATCTACTGCCGATAATTTGAAAGTGGCTGTTTTGTTGCAAAGTGGCACTACTGGTGAGTCGCATGGCACGTGTATATTTTTGCATGTACTTAATTGCATAAGTTTTCAACTTCCCTCTAATGCACGTATAGCCAGTCTAACAGTCATTACAAAGTTACATATGCTTTCTTGTACTGTCCAAGTTTATCTCACCTTTACAATTCTTCGTTAAGAATTATTTACTGAAGTGATAACTTGATCTTTCAGCTTTTTAACTATTAAGTTCTGTTCGAAACAACTTTCAACTTTAATTTCTCTCACTTGCCGACTATTAACCTTCATATAACGATTCCACCAAGTTCTAGGGAAACTTTGAGCTAAATTTGCCCCTTTATCTTATTGGCCTTCTTCGACTTGTTTATGGACAGGAATATCTGGCTCCCCGTTTGCAGAGGTACAATGATAAACGTCTGGGGGCTATATGAAATTGGTCTTGAAAGAATTATATCCAGCTTTTAAGGGAGACAATGCCATAATTTCTTACATTTTGGGCATTGCATGGTGTCCTTCAACTATATCAAGATCACGAATTTGGGAGGTACATGTGGTGGGGATAAAATGCTGTTTTCGCTTTGCTATTGCCGTCAACTCGTGTGAACCATTTCCCCCTTTATTTTCTGCTATTTGGGTTGACTTGTTTAATCAGCCAGCTCTCTGTGTTTTTTTTCTTTTAGGTGAAAATGCCAGTTTCAACCTAAAAAAATTGTCGTCTTAACTTCAGATCTATGTTGGTTAAGGAAAATATGTAGCTTTAGATTGTGAAATCAAACATAGTTATGTAACTGAGAACAGTTTTATTCAGACTTCTGTGAAATCATGTTTCATGCCAATTATGTTATATTGTGCGTTCGCTTGGAGGTCAAATTGTGCATTGTTTGTGTGCGAGTAGATTGCCAGAATCAAGCCCATTCAAGTTGGCAATTTAAGTTGTTAACTTGACTCCCCTAAAAATTGGACTTTTTGGTCTTGTGGAAATTACACCCATCGCTACATTTTAAAATAAAAATCGAATCATACTTTTTTTTTTTTTTAAAACCATAAATACTACATTTTATATACTCAAGATTAAAACACAATATGCTGTATCTTTCATCAATACAAGATTTGATGGCTTAAATTTATCCTCCAAAGAAGCACCAGCTCATTGGATTTGTTGCCAAAATTAATTCCTAAACCTAAGCTTTCTCTTTTGACACAAAATCAAGAATCCTAATGTGTGAAAGTTTAGCCGTAACACCACAATCCTCTCTATCTCCAGATTATTTCATGTGTTTTGAACTCATATATCTTGTGAAGAATCGATGTATCTGACGCCTTTGATGTCTGTGGTTTATATGTGACAAAGTTTATCGAATATGTTATCCACTAGAAGATGGATGTGATGGCAGTATGTTCGATCCAAAAATTGCAAGAACATACATGACAGCTCAATTATACAAGCATGTCTACGAGATGCTCATTATGAGACTAACTTCAATCTTGTATCACAGAGCATCATAAGGGATAGAAGATGAAGGGAATCGTCATTGCGTATGATCGATTTAGTTTAAATCTATGTTTTTTGTTTGTTTTTATTTTTATTTTTTATAAATGGGAAATAGTAGTACGTAGGATCTTCCTCCACTCTAAACAATTTCACCTTAATGTATTGCGGAATGTTTTTTATTTTGGCATGTTCGGATGACACATCAATCCCATTTCACGAAGATCCTACTATGATGTTTTAGTAGTATTTTATCATATTTTGGCATTAGATGAAATTGTTATTATCTATATATTGTCGTGTAAGAATTAATACCGATGAGACTGATTCTATAAAATTCTACATGGATTATGTTGAGTTCTGGTGGCTTTTTTTGCAGTGAAAATATGTTTATGTATTTGAACTAAATTGATAACTAATGCTTATTTTATTATTTATGTCTAATTCATTCTTTAGTTTTTCCTTCTTGTGATTGCGCTCTTATGATTCATTTGAATTGTTACCAGTATCGAATCATATCCATAGATCACTTTCTTATATCGAAGAGTTGTGTTGCTTGATAGATAATTACTTTAATCTGCTCATAGGATTTTCATTTATACATAAATTCTGTCTGATTGGAACATGATGACTATTGGCAAGTCTATGTCTGTAGGTATAATGATGTTTCTTAATTGATATTTTAGCTTGTGACAATTCAAATTTTGATAGACTGATTAAGCAATTTGCAAAGCTCCTTGGTTAAAGAGAATACAACACTTATATGATTTAGTCAAGTAGATCAGGTATTAAGGGAAACCATGATTCACAATAATATGAAAAGTTCATTTAATTTCTAATGTTGCTATAACTTTGTAAATGTGAAATTAAAAGTAACAAGATAGTCCTATGATGATCACATTGTTACTGGTTGATCTTCTTGAATGTGTGATAGCAATGAATAACTAATAATGGGGTCTCTCTGTTGAAATTGGCAAAGAATCGAGTTTCAAATACATAGATACAACATTCGTGATTAAATTACCTGTAATCATTTTCTATAGATTTCTTAAATAGAGACACGGGAATATAACCGTATGATGTAATACTAAATCGCTGGATTTGAATCCAATCAGCCACAAAATCACCTATTTTTAGTATAATATTGGGAAGGTTATTTTTGAATTTTGAATCTCCATGAATTCAGTAATGACAATTAGCCCTCGTTTGGCCCCCATTTTTTGAAGTAAAAATGGGTGGAAAAATGTTTTTTTTTTTTTTTAATGAGTGGTTGAAAAATAAGTAAAATTTTTTCAATTTACGTGTAATATTATTTCATGAAAAATTGTGTGGTTGAAAATAGAAAAGAAAAAAAATGAAATGTAGTAAAATTTAATGTAATGGGGTACAGACGGGGGCTTAATGCTACCCCTATTGAATTTCCTTTATACCATCGGTTACAATTTCAGAAATGGAAAGTGGATTATACATAACTTTTGGCATTATAAAAGAGTTATGTTGTAAAATTTGTAATTATTTGGATTTATTAGTATAAAATGAGTTATTATGTAATAGTCGGGTATATATAAATTTTTCTGGTATTGTCTTTAGGCAATTGAAATTGGATTGGGGATGATCATGATATTTGAACAGTCTTTATTTTTTATTTTTTAAAGACAAAGAGTCCAACTCTTGCCTCGGCTTTGTCACCATCATTATACTTATTTCAGCGTCACTATTCACAAAATTCACCCAACAAAGGTAACCCCCCGCCCCCCCCGCCTTCAAACTCTCTTCCCTTCCTTTGATCGCCTGAAGTCTCAAGACTGGCTTAGGAGGATATGAACCTATCTTTTTCTGTTCTATTCTTTAAGGATAAGTTTAAGCATTAATCATTTTTCCTAAAAGCTTTAAAGAATTTCAATAAAGTTCAATTAAGATTTGAAGAGAAACTTGTTGAACGAGTATTAAGTAGGTCGGATTGAGCAACTCGACTCATCCATTGGAGGGGCTTGATCCGGTCTATTTGGCGAATTAGTTTGCTCTCGCACATGGTACAATTAAGCACGAGTTGGTTCATTTTATAAACCTCGGTTCGACTTGTCCCGCCAACTTACCTTTAGATGGGGTGAGCATTCATTGCTTGCACATTTTTTTTTTCCTATTGAAAATTTAATTTCTTTTTCTCGACTCTTGGATGAGTTGAGATGAACAGATTAGTCGGCTTATACGATGTCAGTAGAGGTGAATATTGTTCTATTTGATTTTGATTCCAAGATAACTAAACTGAAATATGAACTAATGAGTTTTCTAAAGATATGGTACCAAATCGAATCAAGCCATTCGGTTCTGGTTTTGTTTTGTTTCGTTCATTTCTTAAATTTTTAGATTTGCACCATATCCATAAATTAGTAATATATACATAAATAAAAAAATAAACATAAAATATTTATCAAAATTATCAATCATCAAGATCACAAAAGTCTAAACTAACAAATAAAATAATCATAATTTAAATCATTGTTTCAAAAGGCATGCATTGGCAGCGCCTAGGCATCTCCAACGAGTGATGCGCGGCAAAAACTCCAAGCCAAGTGGCTTGACGTCTTATTTAGCGATCAACAACAATCGTTCACCGCTAATGCAATTATCTTTTTTTTTTAAATTTAATTAATTTATTATTATTATTATTATTATTATTATTATTATTATTATTATTATTATTTATAATTCTTCTAAGGTAAAACTTAAATGTTTATTTCTTCATTTCATCGATTTTAAATTCAAAATAGTCGCTTGAAGCCTTAAACAAAGGAAATCTCCTAAAAATTACTATTTATTTACTATTTAGTATTTACATTTGGAACTTGTCTTTTTGTTGAAAACCTTGGGAAAATATATAAATTTGTTTTAGATGTTTGGCAATATTATTTTTAATTATTAAACAATTTTTTGATTGATTAAAGATTTAAAAAAATATTAAATAAGAAAACACGTTTTTATGCTTTTTTACGCCTATACCTCACCTAACCCATAGCTTGGCCTCTAAACATCACCACGCATTACACCTTTTAGATCACTGATTTGAATACACAAATCAATTTTCATTTCCACACAAAAAATTGTCTAATAAGTAATAACAATAATTCGCTAAATTAATTGCAACAATTTTGACGACAAAACCCCACAATAAATGATGAGTTATGCAAAATTTTAAGTGTCCACTTTTATATGCAACAATTAACCGTTTAATACTCCATGAATATTTATTGAATTTTCCTCTATTTGTGAGGAATACAAATAATTCATCAAACAATCAAGGTGAAAAATAGTTAAAAAAGTTTTTTAAGTGATTGACCAATTTCATTTTTCGATCTTCAAGGAGTCTCTTCCATTGACGTGATGAAATACGGTGTTGAATGCCGTGTCGTCGTATAAATAAAAAAGAGTGAAAGATAAATAATTCAAATGAATACAAAATTATGGTGTACACAAATATTGGACCGTCTCCAATGACCCAAAATCGATTAATGGGTTGCTCTAATTAACGATTTGTCTTCAATGAATACAAAAATAGGGTATGTACTAATTAATGTATATAAAAATAAAATTAAAAATCAAGTTTGATTTCGGTTTTTGTTCTCGGTTCGAAGGATCAAAATCATTATTTTTTTTCTATAAAATCGAATCGAACTATTCGATTTGATTTGAAAATTTGTCTTATGTTGGTGAGAGGCTCATATAGGAAAAATTCAATTTGACTCGTGTTTTGTTTGAGCCAACTATTAAACAAGGGATGTGCTATTTGCACAGGGCCCTGTGCACACCTGAGACATCCACCCCATGTCTCAGGCCCTGTGCAAGGAGTAAAATCCATTAAACAAAGGGAAATGCCGACCTGACAGAAAAAGGAGTGACCGATGCGGTGACATTCCCTCACAGTGGCGGGCACGAGGTGAATAAATAATTTCAAAAAAAAAAAGTGGCCCCCACCATGCTGTGAGCGTGTCAGCCCTTTTGTCAGAAATTTTCTATTATTGTAGCTCCGTCGTATCGTTCCAATGCTAGGCTTACAGATAAAAGGTGTTGATAGGCCACACACATACGTGAGGTCTACATATTTTTTTTTAATGCATGTGGGTCTCATTACAGTGAGGATTCCTGTAAAAGTTTCGTGAATAATTGCCTGTGCACTAGGCAATATTCTTCCAATTTACATCAATAAATGAATTAATGCTAATTCATTGGAGAGAGAATGGAATGCAGTGGGCGTCGGCTCTTAATCTGGGACTGGGAGTTAATTATTGATATTTTAAGACCACAGATGACAGATCTAAAGTTTTGTCGACGCCTGTCTTTGACCATTTGCCGCTGCATTAAATTTTCTGACTGGACATTTGGTCTTGACTGTAGACACTCCAATACAATAGGCTACGTTAATTATCAATTTCAACTTTTTGTTACAAACCTTTATTTTTTATTTTTTTGTTTGAAATTACATGTAAATTTATCAAAATCCATATTTGATCAAGTTGGCCTACCTCAAAGCCTGTAGTAAGTACTAAACCTTTTGTCTCGTTTTCAATTGGTTCGTCTAATCATTCTTGTCATTTTCAATTGGATTTGTAAAGTCGAAGAGTCAAGAAACTTAACTCTATTATTCTTCATATTGTGATTTAAATACGATTTTAAATTTTATCAACTTTTGTTTTAAATTATGAATTTTAACATTCAAAAGAAGAAAATGTGGAAAAGAACCCAAAAATTGTTGACATCAAGCAATAATATGGTCTATGTTTGAGAAAATATTATTAGCAATTTTTATTTTTAAAATGAATAGTGATTAAAACCACCAAACATATGAAAAATAATAAATATTAATTTTTTTTAATAATAAATATTAATTTTGTCCTCAGGACACATCTCTAAGTGGTAAAAGGGGAGTGTGGAGAAATCCAGTTTTATTTGAGACTGCCGCGTCAAGGGTTCGAATTCTGAAATATGGATTTGGCTCTTGGGTAAGTGTAAGTGTACAAACAACCTTTCACCCTGTACCCTTGGAGGCATAACCTGTGATTTACCTCCTTCACGATGCTCCAGGGTAGGGACCGTGGGGGACCCTTAAAGTTGGGGTTCAACCTTTTAATAATAAATATTAATTTTGCCTTCCACGCATATTTCATTGGTGCAAAGAACAAGGGTAAAGTATACTCAATCTTGCTGACAATCGCAGTGTGAGGGCTCGATTCCTAAAATATGGATTGTGACTCTTTATGAGCACCAGTGTATAGGCAACTCTTATTCCCTGACCTGTTGAAGCACATTCCTCAATTAACCTCTCTCACGATACTTCAGAAACGGGACGGTGAGGAACCCTTAACGTTGGGGTTCAACCTTTATTAATAAATATTAATTTTAAAAGCGTGATTAAAATTACAATTTATAACATTGACTGAACTTTAATAACTAATTTTCTAACTTTTGATTCGCTGTTTTGTAGACTTTGAAAGTCGAAAGTAAAGTCAGATCACAAGGAAAAAAGCACGCTTTAACTAATGCTACTGTCGCAGTATTCCGTACTCTTCTATTGCTGCATGAATCCCTGTCCCTGCCATTAATGCTCCCTCTCTTAACTCTCACCTCTAAATACACACACACACAATTCCGTGGAGAGAGGCGTGAGGCAGAAAAAACAAAAATGCTTATAGTGACAGTCCTCTCAGACAAGGTGGGGCTCGCGATTATTTTAATTGTTAGCCCCATCTTTAAATGTGAGAGAGTTGTCAACAGTATTGTCAACACCACTGTTCCTATAGCATTCCTTGAGAAAAAACTGGATTCATAATGAATAATGTACATAGTAATTAGGTTTACATACGTGTTAAAAAAAAAAAAAGAGGAAATTTTATTTATTTATTTATTTTTTTATTAAAGAAATTTTGATTTAATTATATTTCACCAGTGTATATAAATTATAATGTACATGTAGTACTATCTATCGGTAATTATGTCATTTCACAATTGAAGAAGGGCTATTAAATGCTTTTCTCTTTGCTTTCATTTTCACTCATTTCTTGAATAGCTTGCAGCCACTTTCTCTGTATTTACGTACATATATATATCTCTATAGCCATTTGCTTGATCCGTTTCATCAGCATTTACTCCTCAGCAGACCCACAGACAGTGAGGAACAGTACTACTCACTGCTGGGGATCTTGGAATTGATTTTCCAAAGACCTATTTGATCGTGAGGAAATTTTCTTATTTCTCTGTCTTGAGAATTTACCCACTCATTAAAAGCCTATCTTCAGCTCTCACTTTAATGAGTCATTTTTTATCCAAAACTTTTGAGCTGACAAAGTGTCTGCTTATCCGCTATTCATTTCTATCCATTTATAATTTAAGTGTTTATAAACGGTTCCAAATATGAATCTAAATTTGGATGAACCACCCGTTGCATCTTGATATAACAGGAAGTACTTCCCTCTAATTGTAGCATAAAAAGTAGAAAATGTGCTGCAATCTTCATACATTGTTTATGCATACCATTCTATCACATCTTTATGCCAACATATTGCCCATCATTAGTCTTCACTGAAGAGAATCTGTCTCTATTGGAAAATTTTGGAAGTTTAAGCTCTTAATCTTATTTACTGTGCAAGAAGTGTTTTATAGATATACTTGAATGGTGGTTCTTGTTTCGTCCCTTTATAGGTCTTCTTCGGTGTGGGAAGAGTTGCAGACTACGATGGACAAACTATCTTAGGCCAGACATTAAACGAGGTCCCTTTAGTCCCGAAGAAGAGAAGCTTGTCATACAACTCCATGGAATTCTTGGAAACAGGTGAGATTAAAATGAATTTTGGCAATTTCGGGGTGACGTTACTTTTTGTAAATATGCTAATTTGATTGCATTCAGATGGGCTGCCATTGCTGCTCAACTACCCGGAAGGACGGACAATGAAATCAAGAACTTGTGGAACACCCATCTGAAGAAGCGTCTGGTTCAGATGGGCATTGATCCCCAGACTCACGAGCCTTCTTCGACCTCTAACGGTTTTCTCAAACAACTCCCTGCGTCTTCTTCTACTCGTCACATGGCACAATGGGAGAGCGCTAGGCTTGAAGCTGAAGCTCGCCTTTCAAAAGAATCACGACTCTTGATCCCATTGTCCGTGGGGAAATCTGATTCTGATTTTTTCCTGCGCTTGTGGAATTCCAAGGTGGGTGATGAATTTCGAAAGTTAGAGAAGGGAGAAGAGAAAACAGCTTGTCAAAGTGCAGTCTCGTCTTCATCAACAAAATGTGAATCCATTTCAGGTTCCAAAACAGAAATGGCACCTGCTGCAGCGGGTTCTTCGGCTGCAGGGAGCAATGAAGATGATGATACAGACTGCAAATCCTACACCGAGGATGTCGTCCCACCATCAGATTCATCTTGCTCCAATGAATTGGAAGATTCATCTGAATCTGCATTACAACTTCTTTTAGACTTCCCTCACAACAATGACATGAGCTTCTTGGGACATAACGATGACTCTAGCTCCATATCGTTTAACTTTTACTAGAAGTTATTACAAATTACTCTCCTGAAGCATATACAAAAATCTGCCCCTCTGAAGGATGACTTTTAAAATTTTGGCTGCTGGTTTTTGTGCATCTCCGGATATGGAGAAATGCAGGGGAGAGTCGATCTACCAATGTATTTGATTATCATTTATGGAGATTGGAGAAAGTTTCTTCTTATTGAAAATTTACTATAGTTTGTTACACGGAATTTGCTTTACTCACAAGTCCAAAGCACCCTAACCACACGAGCAATTGAAAATATATCAATTGCCTTAATAAAACCAACAAAAAAAAAATAATATTACAGGAAAATTAAAACTTTTCCTAGATGATACAATACCACAACTGGAGAAACTTAGCATCCAAAGCATCCAAAACCCTTCTTAGGAGCATGGCCAGTTGCACGGTACTTTGCAGCCATCTCGTCTGTTTTGAGAATTTCTTCCCCGCGTTTGGCTTCGACCATCGCTCTCTTCTCTTCTGCCTCCTTGTGAATCAAAGCTACCTTGTTTCTTACTTTTTCTGCATAATCTGCTTTCTTCTTCTCCAGTTGTTCCTGCCAATATATTGGACTCAAGTCATATAAAACGCAAAACTTCAATATTTCACTAGCACATGAAGCCACCAAGATTCCACTAGAATAGCACATTAATGGGACAAAATTTCAAACTCTTCATTTGCAAATATTTCCCATGTATAATATTATCAAAGATATATGCATTCTGAACTTTTTGAGGATGTTACCTCAATTTTCCTCAGTTGAGCTTCAAGAGATGCTTTCTTGCTGTTCTCCCATGATGAAACCTCTGAGAGCTTCTTTTGGGCTCTGTTCCATCATAAAAAATAAAGTTAAAATCATCTAAAGGTGTCCAAAATATGACGGATTCAATAGATTTCACTAGGAGTGGAATTCGTGAATGGACATTTGTGCCTTTCAACTACCAGATGATGGAGTAGTAATCAAAGAAAACGGAGTCATTTACGATCCTCCTAGAATACATTATGCTGACTGTAATTTTATTTTTTTCAATCATTAGCTTCCTTTGAACAACTGTAATAATATCACATTTCAAGTACAACAATATTAGGTTCAGTGACGTTAGATGATTAGCAAGGAAATACCTACAGCTCAATGTAATTTGGACGGAGGTTTCTTGATCAACTGTTTTACGCATTTAAAGAAATTAAGACTAAACTCTTCTTCCACACAAAGTTATCACAAATTCATGTCCAACCAACAAGCTGGATTTTTACTAATTCCGGGGTTGCGGAAAGTGTTATAATTGTAAATTATGTGGCATGCACATGATGAAAGGAGTCTCCAGTAATTGATTGAACAACAATAATAACAATTGAATTGGGACTAATCAAATTAAACAACTTATTTTGGTAATTTGGCCTCGTTTAATGGCCCATCTTGGCCCCTTTCCCTTCCTCTATACATAGATGAGTCCATTTACACTCAATATAAGTTCGTCTAACTAGTCCATCTCTCTTGCATTCATTCTTATCATTCGAGCAGTTAACTTGATCGTCAAAATGCAAAAGATCGTCAGATTTTATTCTGGGAAGATGTACCCTTGCACCCTAACAATGTGTTCCCGACGGTGTGTTTCAGTGTGCCAGTGATATACAGGTAGACGGATAGGTGGCTGAAATCTGTTAGCCCCTTGATAGGACAGATTTGAGGTCAACAGAAAGCAATACTATAGAAAGAGGCAGATAAGACATACTTGTTCTCCACTTTGCTCTTTTCACTATCCTCCCATGCCTTGACAAACGACAACCTTTTCTCGTCTTCAACCTTTGCAAGAGCAATATCTGAAACATGGACAAGTACCCAAAATTCACCTCGCAAAAGTTAATTATGCAAAAATATATACAATGTTATTATAATGAAATTGCGTGTTCTCATTAAAAATTTTGACATAAAATTTCCATATGACACCCTTACCTAAACACAATTAACTTAAAAAGAAGAAAAATATGAAGAATATCCAAATTCAGGTGTTAATTTTTCAGACTACAAAATCATTGTTTACTAAAATGGTAGAAGTCACGAGCCTACCTCTGTCACGGGATCCTTTCGAGCTTTTCATTGCTGCAGAAGTATCTGGAGCTGCTGTAAAAGTGTGGAAATATAAGTTAGATTTTATGAAGCTTCCCTTCAAGAAAGAAAAAGTAACTTATTTCTTTGAAAAAAAAAAAATAATAATAAATAAATAAAAAAAGAGAGTAAATCTAAAAGTAGTCAAAAGTATTTTTTAAAGATTACCATACTCGTGAAATCTCTAGAATATACACTGCATACATAACTACAGTACTACAATAATACATCAATAGACAATAAACACACATGTATGTTTACTTTGATCGACGACGGCGGTAGCCTTGGAGTCGTCAGGTGGCGGCGGCGGAATAGCAGACTTGTCTTGCCCGACGTCGTTTGGTTTCTCCATCACCGAAGCAAGTGGTGGCTCCGTCATGGTTTCCACCACTGCCGGTTTCTGATTAACAATTTCTGGTGTTGCTGCTGTTGCCATTTCTATATCTCTAATGAAGTTAAATATGATTAAAACTATGAAACTAAAAGATAGTTTCAACTCCCTCACAGATAATCCCAGTTTCTAAATGGCATGCCATTACTATATTTAGATTTTGGCAGTGGCAGAATAAACACACAAACGGTGTATCAAACGTGTCCGTGTATTTTCTGTGTTGGATAGGGTAATGCTTGCGTGTTACACGGTGCACGGTAAGGGCGACTGCATGCACCAATGAACATATGACTTGGTAAAAGCGGGTACGGTAAATATGTACGAATGAGGCGCATGCAAGGCTTTCTTCGTGCCGACAAGTTTGGGGGTGTTTGTATCCATTATTTGTGAATAATGTATTATGGAATAGGAAATGTTGAAATGTGTGGTTAAAAAAGAATGAATTTTTTTTTGATTTATGTGTAATATTATTTTAATGAAAAATGTGTAATTGAAAATGAGTATCATAGAAAAAATAATGTGACTGAATGGTAGACAAACATACTCTTAAATTGGGAACTCTACTTAAATAAAAATCGAGGATCTTATTACATGTATATCAAATTTTATATAATAAGTTACATAATATCACGTGTTACTCTATCATTTGTTAGTTAAAATACAGTCAAATAATATAATTCAAAAATCGAAAATGGTTCTATACTTCATTTGGCTAGAAGATTGAAGACAAATGGATTATCCATCACCCGGCATGAGATCGGTCAGATTCACTCCAAATTGCATATGCATTTTTCATCTTTTATGACGTTTTGCCGAGTCCTCCAACTATTGCTGAACATCAAGTTAGATCTCTAAAATTTTTTATAATTCATGTTCATCCTTCAACTATACACAAACTTTAATTTAGTCCGTCAAACTACTCTGAAACATCAAGTTAGTCATTCAACTAATGCCAAACATCAGGTTAGTCCTCCAACTAGCAATAAACGTCATGTTAGTCATCCTACAATTGTCAAAAATTAATTAGTCCTCCAAATATTCAGAAATATTATGTCAATCCTCCTACTTTAAAACATCAAGTTAGTCCTTTGACTATTTATAAGTGTCATGTTATTCCTCCAGCTATTTAGAAATGTCAAGTTAGCAATCCAACTTTCCTGAAACGTCATGTTACTCCTATAACTATTCATAAATGATGGGCTATTGCTCCAAACATTCACAAACATCAATTTAGCTCTCCAACCATTTCGAAACGTCAAGTTAGTAATATGATTACAATTTTCAAAATGTAAATTTCACTAGAAGTTCCTGAATTTTTAACCTTTCAACATTTGGGTCTTGAACAAAAAGAGCAACTTCAAACTAAAATAGTTTACAATATTTCGTCGTTTAAGTTGTAGCAAACAAAGTGTTCGGCTGGACATGATTGAAAATAAAAAATACAAAGTTTATATTGAATACATAACCTGGATGAAGAGATAAAAATGATAATTAAATTTTGTCGATCTTGAATCTCTTTAATGATCTTGAATTGCATCGTCTTCATTTTCATTTTGTCTAAAATATGGACGAGTTCTTGCTTTGTAATTGTTTTGCGATAATGTATTGCAATGTATGAGGGGGTAGAAAACACAATATGAGAGTTTCCTATATATTCATTAAAAAAATTCAAAAATGTGTTTATAATAACCTAAAATCCTGAAAAACAAGTTTTCAAGACAAAACACCTTGGTCGGGGGTTAACAAACACTACCCTTGTTGTAGTTTTTTATTATTTGTTCTTTGATGCTTGAAACATATGCGCCAAGCCATTAGGTGAAAACCTGCAGATGCACATATGAAATTTGCCGAGCTACGGTTGGCGCTTAGGAGCCAAAATTACACTCAGGCTCTTCAAATTTTAGCTATTGTCCATTTCAATCCTTCAACTCTTGAATTCATCCATTTAGGTCCTCCAACTTCTCAACACGCCCAAATTGATTGTTGAATTTACAAGTTCTTTCACTTTGGTGCTCCAAATTCTGTTTTCTTCAATTTGGTCCTTAAAGTTCCTGAAGTGTCTAAGTTGGTCCCCAAGATTCTAACTTCATCCTTTTTGTCTTTATAACTTTCCAAGTGTTAAACTTGGTCCCCAAAATGTATCAAAACATCCAATTAACTCTTCAATTCTTCCAATCAAATCCTTAAATTTTCGTTCATGAAATTCCACCATTTGAACTCCATATTTCTTCATTTTACTTGATTCATCTCTGGATAGGGATTTTTTCTGAAAAACAATATACACTAGAATGAGTAGATTATGTCCAGTCAAATCAACTTTAAGCAAATTTAAGAGGCTATATAAGTATGTAAAACATACTTTTAAATACTAATATTTTAGAGCTTTGAATGTAAATAGCTATGTGATATCTACCACATAGCTATTTACATTCAAAGCTACAAAATCTTTAGTATTTTGTCTACAAAAGAAAACTACTTAGTGCTTTTTTGATAAATCGTTAATAAATTTTTATCAACTTTTTAACTGGTTACACTTGAATTTTAGCCACACGTTTCATAGGACCAATAATTTTTATCAAGTTTTTAACCATATATTTCATTAAATTTTATCAAAATTTATTAAAACTTTGGCAAACAACATGTATTCATATCTTATTAGATCATGCACAAATACGACATGGCTAGAATAGAATAACTCCATGAATGGAAAACTTCTTATTCTTTTGATGAAGAAGAAACAAGGTAGCCCTAAATCATTGATAAGGGAAATCTCTGTTATGTACAGTGCTGCAGCATCTTGGTTACAACTTCATTTTACATCAAGCATCAGACTAGTGAATATCAAATCCTCCCCCGTTTTTCTCCGGCACCCCTAAAGCTTTCCAGACAACCTTAGAGGCATCAACAATGTTGTTAGGACAAGGAAGCTGATAATCATGGTCTGAATCACAGCCCAGTGTAGAATCACACTCATCGACCACCATTGCATAGACACTCCTCCCATTCCCATAAATAGTAATATTTTTTAAGCACCTCTTCTCATTGTAGAATCACCCCGTTGACAGTGCCACGACTGGCTTATTATCTGAGTGGTGCTTATTGACGGGCCACCACCTTCGCTACCGTCCTTGAAACTGTTGATGGTCCGAATTGCTTTCGTTTTGAAATCTTTGGTGAGAACTTAAATATGTCATAATAATACTTGCCTTCCTCACAACACTCGGAGTCATTCTGATGATTGCATTCCCCTTTATGTAGTTTCTAGCCCTTAATCTTGCCATTTGGTTTGCAGGACTGAGCAGTGAGCATCAACCTCTAAATTCAAGGACGTGATAATCAGAAACAAAATGAGAACTTGAAAATTCTTCATTTTTTCATTCTTTCGGATTGTCCGTGGTTTGCGCTGCAAGTCCGTTGATTCCCAACATATATATAACATGGCACGGCATGAGACAAGACATATGTCAAGTTGTGTAATGTTGGTACCTAGATTAATTCTTAGCTGTTTGCAGAGATGTTTGTCATAAACAAGGGAATCCTGCCCCCAGGGCACATCTCCAAGTGGTAAAAGGAGAGGGTGGAGAAATCCAGCTTTGCTTGAGGTTGTCGCGTCAAGGGTTCGAATCCTGAAATATGGATTTGGCTCTTGAGTAAGTGCAAGTGTACAAGCAGCTTTCCACCCTATGCCCTTGGAGGCATAACCTGCGATTTACCTCCCTCACGATACTCCAGGGCAGGGGCGGTGGGGGACCCTTAAGGTTGGGGTTCAACCTTTTTCATAAACAAGGGAATCCTTGTGAACCTTCACAGAATCCTAAGCTGATCTTCAAATATATCTAAATAATCAAGATGGGGCCCCTATTGAATCTATTGTTAATGAATCGTGTTGGTTGATTCAGCAGAAGAAAATCCAGATGAATGTCCTTTGAGAGAATCCATTATGGTTCAATGGAGGCGAGACAAAATTAAGTGAAAAAACAATTGGTTTGGGTTAAAAATTATGGGCTAAAATTGTAATTTTTTTTAATGTTAAAAATTAAGTGCTTGTTTGGTATAGATTTTGTAAATTAATTTTTTGACCGTTAGAGATAAAATATGTCCTATTTGTGAAATAAAAATTCAAAAATGACGATTAAAATAGTGAAATAACAGCTAAAAAATTGATTTTAATTGAATTTTAAGCTATACCAAACATGCTCTAAGAGTCAATGAGGGCAATTACACCCACAAGGCCCTTAGTGAGTCCGCCGGTTGTCATCAAATCCACAGTAAACTACCTGGAATAAGCATACGACGACAAAAGCCCGGTCCCTTACTTTTTTTCAATGAGTCATCCTTGACAAATGATTGGGCCCAAGCTGTCAAATACGGTATTACTAATATTGATGATTACGAGATTTATGGTTCAAGCCATGCTAACCAGTTAGTGCAGTACTTAATTTCATTGCAATGCAGAAAATTTGCCTTCACAAGAGAAAAGGTTTCTGATTCATCCAAACTAGTACATCCTGAATTAAATTGAATGATATACAAATTTGATATGGATACAAAACAAAATGTAAATAAGGATACTATGAATCTACACCAAGAACTGTACTAAGAAATCTACACCATATAATAAATTTGGCCATTCTTACAAAAATGGTTTTTTCGCCTTTTGACATAAAAAAGGGGACACTTTTGCCAAAAAAAAAAAAAAAATAATAATAATAATAAAATAAAATAAAAATTAATAATAATAAAAATAATAAATAATAAATAAAAATTGGCCAAAATTTTTAACCTACCTCCAAAATTGGTTATAATTTAGAACACCCTTAAACTTTTAAATGAGATGGTTAACGATTTTCTTGAGATTTTTTTATTGCATTTCTTATACGTTTTCAACGAGTTATTCTTGGTTCTCTTGAAATTCTCAGCTATATTATACTCAATATCTTGTGGTTAATAATAACTTATATTTCCATTCACCCAAAAAAAAAAAAAAAAGTACTATCAGCAAGTGAAACGAACATTCTTTATATATAGGTGGACTAGGAAATGAGAAAATTTTCAAGCTATAATTAGAAAACAGGGAAGTAAAATTCTTAAAATGCTTTAATATAAACAAGATCATAACTGCAATTGTGATAAACTATGCTAGGCATTG